TTTGATGTTTGCACAAGCCTAAACTATTTTGTATAAAACTTCCTTAATTTATGCTCTTTGTCTGATTTATAAGGTTTTGTCTTAAAGAATATGAAATTAGGCCAGTGCTACTTATCAAATACATAATCGAATATGAATATTCTAATTGCATTTATAAGTGGATGAAATGATTATTCACAATAAGATGGCAATTATAATCAAACACTGGTTTTTATGACACAAAGGAAAGGTCTTCATAATGTTAAGTATCAATTCAAATAGAAATAATGTAACATCAAATAAATTATACTTCATGGACACTTGATGATTCGCCTTTAGAAGATAATAGAAAATTCAATTATACCTGGAGAGCACTCAAAGTATATTAACTTTGAATTTTTTTCAACAGTCAAGAGGAAAAATTACTTAGGCAAAGATGGGGTTTCACTCATCTAAATGTATTTAGCAAAAAAAAAAAAAAAAAGAGTTCTGTTTCTGAATAGGAAAAAAGAACTACTAAAAATTCCTGTCCCTGATTAAACAGTCCTTGCATTTGTAGGTTTGAAGTAGGCAACTAACCTTTAAACAGTGTCTAAATGAATTCTTTTTTGAGGATATGCAAGAAACTTCCAAAGTTTTGGTAATACACCAGGACTTCAAAGACAAGCAGCCAGTAAACCACAAGACCACGACTAGAGAATTCTTTCTGCATTATCCACCTGGTGTTCTTATCTTAGGAAAAACGACATTGCCCACTAAAGATGGTGGAAAGGGAGAGCGTATGTGTCCGTGCAAGAATGCACATGAAGACTCGATTATCTTTCAAAACTGTCACAGAGACTAAACATAAAATTTGCCAGGGTGACACTGTATGGCAACCTTTCTTGGAGAGTGATGTCCAAGGTGACCTCCTCAGGACCCTTCAGCCCTCTTGTACAACCCCCAGTGCTGAGAGCACCAGCCACACAATCTCTAAGGAAAAGTACTTGGAATGCTCATGCGCATTCCATATAACTAAAGTATTCAAAAGCATCACTTTCGGTATCTTCATCTGTATGTCCAGAAAAAAGGACAGAATTCTGATCTATCAGCAGTCTAGAGCAAGATCCTCAGACCTATACCCAAAGCTGAGCTAAAGAACTGGCATTGATTTAATGATTGTGTGTTACATGCTATGTTTTTCTGTGAATCTGTTATTGTTACCATTTCTCTAACTTTGAGAGAAAAAATCTGTTCTACCCTAGCAAGCAGAAAATTCAACAACAGATTAAAACATAACCAGAAATGAGGATACTGAAAAAACCTCTAGGTTAAGCAGGTTAATTAGTTTGTGCTGAAGTCATTGCAACATCCCTTCTGCCTCTTTAAACTGCCTCAAGTGAGCATTTCTCTGGACATTTTATTAACAGATTCTTATGTCCCTTGTGTACAATGTCTTGAACAAAATATTCATCATCCATGCCATGATGGATCAACATAACTGGTCTACTCTGGCCTCCAATCAGGAGGTCTGGAGACACACCATCTATAACGCTGCTGATGCTTTTGAGAAAGCACGCAGGATCACTCTTGAGGAGAAAAGTCAATGCAGAAAGAATCGTGCCTTGCAGAATATACAACCTAAGGAGTCTTTCTGCTGTGCCTTTTGCAACCAGACGTGTCTATCTCATATTGGCCTTTTTAGCCACCAACACACTTGTAACAAACGTGGGTAGAGCCCTTCCCAGATCTTTATTCACAAAGCCTAGCCATGATGACAAGGTCTTGAACAACATATTCATCATTCATGCCATGAAGGAGCATCAGTGAATGGAAAAACTAGAAAATGCACTGAATGGGGAAAAAGCAGTACAATGATAAATCTACAAGATCTTACAAGGCAGTCCCCATGCCACAACCACCCTAAAAACTCCAATATATTTGATTTGAAGAATGCAACATAATGAAAAGATCACATTAAAATAAGATCACACTCATTTTCAGTTTTTTTGCTTGGTGAAGACAAATCATACTAGAAATATTACCCTGTATTTCCATTCAGGATGCCCCAGATCCACCTTCACAGAGAATGTCTGCTGGAAAGAAGCTCTTGCCTGTGCACACATATTTTGCAGTCAGAAAAGCAGGAAATTGTGTAAAGTGGGAATTTTCTGCAAAATATTGAGAAAATAAAGTACTAAAGTATACAAAGCGTAGCGTGAAGAGAACTTAACATTTAAGCCCACAAGGAAGGGGAAGCTCAAGAAGTCATGAAGAATCAGAGACATGATAAAAGCCATGTTAAAATAAAATCAATAAACAAAGGGCAAATTAAGAAAAAAAATGTCACTTATCTAATTCTTTCTTTTTTTCAGCTGTTATTGACTGATACACAAATTGATGAACTGTTGTGAGATACGCCCTTTCCTTTTTAATTGAAAAAAAGTTAGTGGATTTACCTAGTAGAAAGTAAAAAAAAGTGACATAACTTTCTTATAGTGAAAGGTAGATAGTAATTTTATAATCAAATACAATTTACTTTTAAGGATAAAATAAATATTTGTAAAACCTAGCCATTACATCTGTTTAATTATGGCCCTTTCATCATTTAAGATATCTCCTTCTTTTTCCAGTAAATAATAAGTATTCTTATATTGAAAGTTGAGCAAATTTTTAAGCATTTTTTGTGATTATTCCCTGATCACAGAGTAATTTGCATGAGCATGTCCTAAAATTCAGAATGGAACTCTGCTTTTATGAAAAGTTCACTGCAAGTAAGAAGACTTACTGTTTTATCCATCTATCTGTTCATCTATGTTCATGACAGGTAAATGGCATAGGGGTCTTTAATCTAGCCTAGGTCATCAGGTAAATTGTTCTTCATCACTTAACAACCTGTTTATTTTCATGGACATTCAACATATTCTATGAAAAGAAAGTTTTTCTGCAGTTCAGGGAACATTTTGGGCCAAATGACCTTGACAGTTCTCATTAGTGAGAAGAGAGATGAATTATCCTACAGCACAGACACAACACTTGTAAAAAGATACCTAACAGAAGGTGAAATTGTGCCCTTTTGAAGCATAATATAAAAGAGAAGCAGAGGTCTGACTTATTTTTCTCTTTTCCTTCACTGATATGCTTTTCTAATTTTTCAACTTTGTTAAGTGTAGCTATTTTTGCATTTGTTTCTATGTGCATTTACCCAATAACTCCCAATGTGTTATGCCTCTGGATCTCTAAGAAGGCTATGGTACATACAGGCTACAATTTAAAATAAGTCTAGATAGACAACAGTCTGATCAGTAGAGTCTTTCTATTCCAAATTGTGTTAAATTACTGTTGTCTTAACGGTTTGAAGAATTTCCTATAGTGCTTATTTCACTGAAGAGTTTTTGGAAATAGCTTTAGCCTCCTTTTATAAAATGTGCAGGTGGCTGTCTTTTCCAGCTGAATTGCCACAGCTCATGGTTTTTCTTTCACTCATACCTTTCTAGGATAATATTAACCTATTTTGAAGACTTTCAAAAAGTAGTGACAAACTGTCAAAATCACAGAAACATCTTTAGTAGATTCAAATCTGTACACAAATGTCATTAAAACAAACAGGACAAATGTCTATTTTAACTTTGATGAATTATGAGTAAAAAAAATAAATAAATTAAAAGAAAATACTGCATAAGCATACCAATCCAATTGTTTCTCCCAGGAGGAAACTAGCACTTACTATACTGCTTCCACTATGGCATCACACAAATCATAGAATCATAGAATCAGTCAGGTTGGAAAGGACCTCTGAGATCATCAAGTCCAACCCTTGATCCACTACCACCGTGGTTACTAGACCATGGCACCAAGTGTCACATCCAGTCTCATCTTAAAAACCTCCAGGGACAAAGAATCCACCACTTCCCTGGGCAGCCCATTCCAATGCCTGATTACCCTCTCTGTAAAAAATTTCTATGTAATATCCAACCTAAACCTCCCCTGGCACAGCTTAAGACCATGCCCTCTTGTCTTACTGATAGCTGCCTGGGAGAAGAGACCAACCCCCACCTGGCTACAACCTCCTTTCAGGGAGTTGTAAGAGAGTGATGAGCTCTCCCCTGAGCCTCCTCTTCTCCAGGCTGAACAGCCCCAGCTCCCTATCCCTCTCCTCACAGGACTTGTGCTTGAGTCCCTTCACCAGCCTTGTTGCTCTTCTGGACCTGCTCCAGCACCTCAATGTCCTTCCTGAACTGAGGGGCCCAGTTGGAGCATGTAAGTCTTGATCCACTGCCTCATGTAGTTAAAAGTTAGTAATTCCATTAATTCCATTTCTGTTATAAAAATCCATTTCACTTGACCCTAACTGTCTAACCTAGGATACAAAATTAAAATAAGTAAGAATTAAATAGGAAGGTAAGTTCTTACATTAAATGCCATCAAAGACACCTGCTTCTTCCCTTTGACTATACTGGCAAGTTCAGTATTTTTTAAAACTTTTTTAACTTTTTCAACTTTTTCTAAAGGTCTATACTTAAAATTAGTCCTACTGTACTCCACCCAACTTTTGGAGGAAATTTCACGAATTTTCTCATCTTTTCCTGTATTTCTATTCTCACGTAAAAGTGTCAGATAAGTATGAAAAAACTTCAATTTTGTGGGACTAGGTAAGTTCCCTTTTTGCAGTTAAAGTTGAAAATGTAACATGAACAGAAGGTATAAACATTTACCAGTTTCTGTTAACAAACTTGAAAACTACCTGAGTCATATGCATGTCTCCAAAAGAATATTCAGATCATATTCATAGCTAATGGATAAACAAGAAATGGGCTAAATTCCCAAATAAAGCTCTTACGTTTCTGTAAATAATGTCAAAACTCTCATTGCCATTAACAGAATCAGGAATTCAATTCCAACTAAGAATATTGTTTATGACATCTTTATATGAATTATCTGTAATACATAATAATGTTGTATTAGAAAAGGAGTCACTGTCTTGTAATGCAAATTCCATTAATCTGCTGGAATAGCACAATAATTCATCTAAATAATCTGACTAAAATTGCACTCTTCTAAAAAAATACAGTTACTTCATGGTGACATTTTACTCCTTTTAAAGTTTAATATAGTATTTTGGACTAGACAGGGATAGATTTACAATATACAAATAACAATTTTTAATACTATAAATACATATATATAAAAATAAAAATCCTCCATTTTTGCTTTTAAAAACTGTTAGAGATAAGTGTAAAAGGAGCTTGATCTGACTATGTAATCTTTGGGGTTGAATTCTGAAATATGAAACATTTGACTTTTCTTCCTTTCTCTTCACACATAACTAAAATATTGCTAAATTATCATTTATGTATATATCAACAAAAGTAGTTAGTATGGACTAAATCATACATGCAAACTTGTGCATTCATATCTAAGAAAGTAACTAATAAATCGTTACATAAAAGCTCGTATTGATATTAGTAAACAAAAGAGCGTGTACACGTGAGCTTTCTTCAGAAGATGCTGGTGCTATTCTATGTCAAGAGAGAATAAAGTCAATAGAATAAATGTGCTGTCATTGGTTCTAAAGAGACATTCTAGAGAGGGGAAAAAGAAACAAACAAACAAAAACCAAAACAAAACAAAAACCAAAGGAAAAAAAAAAAGTTGAGATTTTCCTGACTTAAAACTGAACACAAGCTTATAGTTTTGAGCTCTATCTAAGAAAAACACACATGAATGTCACTGATAACAAAATAAAAAGAATGCTTGCAAATTATTAACTTCAATTTCCATTACAGTGAACATTTTCCACACAAAATAGGCTGTTTTTCAGAGAACTGCAGCTAAGGTGCATAACAGTCCTATAAGCTCTGTATATATGCATCCCACAGGCATCACAGATTCAATGAAAAGGTAGTTGGTTTTTTATACATGACAGTGTATTTGCTTTTTATACTCTTCACTTTTCTTATTTCTACTGACACAGAAGAAGAAGAAAAGTAAGTTTTAAAAGAACTATTTTAAAAACCTATTACCCCCCCAAAAAAAAAGGTGAAAATCAATGGTTCCCTCCATAAAAGTCATGCAGGCAAACAGAAAACTAGAATACTTTGTGAGTGACTGTACATTAGATGGCAAAAATCAATAGTTTCCGTAAAGAAGGTATCCTTAGGGATAGAAAGCTTCAAGGTATGAATAGAATAGTAGCTTCAGTGCTTGGCATCTGCAGAAGTGATAATACGGTTTCTAATCCCTGCCCAAGAGTGGGTAAAAGAATACAGTGTTTCAAAGTTTTAATGATCCAGGGTGAATTTATTACACTATCTTTCCTGCTGAGCTGCTTGAGCCCCACTTTACCTGAGGGATATGTTGAAAGACCAATCAAATAATTCAGAAAACCTAGCAGCTCAGTCAGCAATGTTGGAATGGTGTTTACCCTTTCTTTTGGGTCCCTTAATGTCTGCTGAAATCTCAAATACTTACCTCAGACAGCAGCTTAATATTTAGTAGCAAAGACTTTATTGGTATGAAAGAAGAAAAAAATTTATGCAGTTTTTGTAAATCTGTGTTGTGCATTAAGTTCACCTTGAGGCACAAAAAATACCAAACAAACACAGGGCTTCAGGTGGCTGGGAATAAGTGTTGACACTGCCTGATAGTGTCCTAACTCCACATCTTCATTATCCCTTTCTCTTTTCCATGTTCCAGATTCTATAAAAGAAAAACTAGAATTGCAAAGTAATGGTGTGTCCCAGTTAATAATATCATATCTGCTTACAGGGAACTAGGGGGTGATAACTTTAGATATATATTCACCATCAAATAAGTTGTTTGCAATTGTCTTTCGTGTTGATGTCAATCCAGCATCCGTACTGCATCCATGCTAGTTTGCTGGCAGACAAAATGAATCTCCAGAAGATGACTTTGAAGACACTTCGCACCAAAAATTTTTCTCTAAAATAAGCAGAAAGAAGTTCAACTTGGTGTAGGTTCTTTCTCCTCTACAGTATTATCCAATATTTCCTACAAATACATTAAGAACAATCATTAAGAAATGGACTTACATTAAGAAACTGCCCCAGAATATTAAATATATTCTTTGCCTCTCAAGCAATAGTGCTGTGCAGAAAGAAGGTAAGGAAGAACAGAAGGGAAGAGAAGAGTAAGAAGGGAAGAAAGAGTAACAAGCAGTCAGATGAAAAAAAGAAAAAAAGACAAGAAAGATTGAAAGAAAAACAGATGGAGAGCAAGAAAGATGGAAAGAAAAATGGATGTATAGAAAGGCAGGTGAGCAAATGGAGAGGAAGTAGGAAGGCAGGGAGGGAGGGAAGAAATGTGTTGCATTATTTCAGACTTTTTAAACTGAGGAAGTTATGCCTTTGAGTCCCAGGAATGCCATGAGGCTGAAAAGACTCAAGACCAAATGTTAGGTAGTTTGATCTTCTGACTTTAGAGATTAAACCTGAGAAATGTGTCTGGAAACCATTCTGATCTGCCAGGGATGTGTCTGTGAGGGGAGAGTGTGCTCCTTGGGTTCATTTAATTTATCAGTACAGACGTAGCTATAGTGAATATTGCATAGGGATACTTACTAATATCCAAAACCATTTAAAGAGATTATTTCAACAAATTAACTTAAGCAAGGTTTCCCTTAGAGATGTATAGATTGCTACTCCTTATCCATAAAAGGAGAGAAGACAGAGATGACAGTCTTTGAGGGGAGTAAGTTATCTGCCCTTCAGATGTTCTAACCCCAGTGTGGAGAGACAATCTTTTATCACTAAATGTAAAGTAAACAGTGCTTCTGTCGAGTCCATTATATATACAGAGGTGATATCTGTTCAATCTGACTCTTTCATCACAATAAAATGAGAATTATTGAAGAAGATCCTTACATCTCTGAGAGGCTTCCTGCTGATCTGAGAATCCCAAGGAGCTGCAGGTGTCAAGCAGCATGGTTAAGACTTCCAAAGCTTTTTATATTTGAACTGATTTTTTTTTCTTCCATCACTGTAAGTCATTTCATACTATCCATTTCACTATGGTGCTTAGCAAAAAAACCCCAGAATTGACACATTGCACGTAAATAAATTATATATAATCTAACCATATAATAAGAAAATCCAGAAAGATCTCAGTATTGCACTGTAATGGTTGAATGAGTCAGATTTGTCATGTATTTGACATTTTCCTTTTTGATTTAATTTGTATAAACTTACTGCTACAATCTAACACTTTCATATAATTTAGCATACACGTTAACTCTCAGTCCTTATCTAGTGTTTTTGTCATGTCAAAAAATGTACACAAAAGAACCAGATAAGCAAATATTGATGTATACCTTCCAATTATTCTGTAGGCTGTATTGGGTGCTTCTTATGTGCAGTGCTATTTTGCAGGTGTTATCTATAACAAGCAGGTTGATCTAAAATTTAAAAAAAGAAAAAAAAGACATTATAATTTTCACATTTATCAGGTTGAGGTATGGTTTTCACTTGGAAAGAAAATCTGACTATGTTTAAACACTACATTTACTGCCATGTCTTTCTGAGGTGCTTATTTCTCTATTTTCAAAATACATTTGGCAATGTTACTAGCACTGTGATTGATTAAGTGACTGCAAGGCATGGTGAATGTTTATCATTCTTTTAGGGAGAGCCTTCAGAAGTTTTCCTGCTCTACTCCTCCTGCTGTGCTGAATAATAATTTGACTTTGCAAAATGAAGGTGATAATGATGAATCTTTTTGAAATTCCTCATGGCTGTTTATTTAAGCAAACCCCACGGTTATTTAAAATTTTAATATTGTATTGCCAAAAGAAATAGTGACATAATTAAAACACTAAATTATGTCTAACCTTGCAATGTAAAAGTTTGCTAAAATTCACACAACATGTTTAAAAAACAAATGTAATTTTATAATATAAGGAAGCATTTTTTTGTTGCATTTTCTTAACACAGTTCAGAAATTAGTAGTTTTGCTTTCTGTAATCATGAGTTTTAATCTCAGAAATGCAACTGTTTTCAAACATAAGTTATGATACATACCAGTCAGGATACTTTGATACCATACTTTCATATGGTGAAACTTAAAGACTGGAAAAGTACAGGAAAACATAACATAGTAAAAATAATAGTATTCTAAATAATTTAACTAAAATTTTATATTATTTCATAGTGTTTAAAGAAAAGAACATTTCTTTATTTCTTAGTACTTGAATATTTCATAAAAGAAATTTTTAAAAATCTGTGTTTCTATACCATCAGATAACGTAAATTTGTAGTCTGCTCTTGGGCCCTCATCTCCTGATCAGCTGCAGTGTATGCCTATTTATTCCAAGGCTGCCTTTTTACTCATGAAACCCATTCCCTTGAAGACACTACACAGTTGTTGTTCTCAGAAAAATTCATTCCCTTGACACCCTTCCTGTAAACAAAATGGATAAATCAGTTCCATATTATTCCCTTTGCCCTGCAGATTAGCAAGATATGTAACCGTAAGAACCACTACACGCACACAAGTGCCATCTCAGGGTGGGAGGAAGGGAGAGTGGGGGAGGAGTAGGGAGGGAGGGAAGGAGGAGAGAGGGAAGGACGGGGGAGGGTGGGATTAAGGGATTAAGGAAAGGAGGGAAAGAGGTGGGAAGGGAGGGGGAGGAGGGAGGGAGAGGAGAGAGGGAGGATGGGAGGAAGGAAGGGCTGAGGGAGGGAGAGATTAAGGGAGGGAGGGTGGGATTAAGGGATGAAAAGAGAGAGGGAGGGTGGGATTAAGGGAGTAAAGGAGGGGAAAGGGAGGGGGAGGAGGGAGCAGGAAGGTAGGGAGGCATTAAGGGAGGGGGGAGGGGAAGAGGAGAGGGATTAAGGGTTTAAGGGTGGGATTAAGGGAAGGAGGGAGGTAGTGGGTGAGAGAAGGAGGGAGGAAGGGGGAGTGGAGGAGAGATAGACAGAGGGACAGAGGGAGGGTGGAAAGGAAAAGGAAAAGGAAAAG